TTGATTTTTGAGCCTGGCTGCCTGAGAATTCCCAGTTATTCCCCACAATCGAAAATGAAGATGACAACCATGTGCTATCATTAACATATTTTGGGACTTCAAAAGTTCTAAACGTCTGCTCAGTTATGTAGAGGTGCTTTAAATCATCTTGGAAAGCCCTAACTTGTAAAGATACATCTGGGAGATTAATGTATCCAGGTGTGTTTATTTTAGGCATTTACATAAATTTCTTTTCCTGGCTGATTTCAAGAGCTTGAGCACAGTTTTTTTTTTCTATCAACCTTCGTTGGACACCCAAGACGTTTTGTGGCTATGGATTGCGCCCAAAATATGACGAAAATTCGAACTGATAATAATTGTATTTATGGGAGTACATTCATGCTGTAACAGGAAACAAAAATGACTAAAATCCCTGTGGGTGTGTATATAATAACTCAAAATTTTTAAAAACCTGAATGTTCCATGGGCAACATTCCTAACTCTCCTTCACTCAGTAATAAAAATTACATCAAAACCAGGACTCTTGATTGATCAGTCTTCTAAGAACCTGTAACCTAAAGTTAGGATTTGAGCAGAATTTTTCAGAGTAACGAGCCAGGAATTCAATTCTGATGTTTTGCTTTCAACTGTTTACTGTCCTTGTCCTGATGGCAGTAGAAGTCAAGGGAGTCTCCTTTGGAACAACATGCTAGACTTCTGTAGGAGTCTGGTTTATATACAAACAGAGTAATCCATGATTGCTTTGAAAATTGAAGTACTACCCCTGATTTCCTTCCTTGGCGTGGATGTTTTTTGCCTGACAAATCCAGAGATATTGTTTATAAATCATGCGTTTAGAGAATTCTTTGAAGTTTTATTCCCATTTTTAAATTTCCTTTATACCCTCATTTCTCAAGGAAAATAAGGGCACTAAGCAAACTACTGATATATCTTGCTCAAAGGGTTTTGTAAACCCAGAAGCCAAGAGCATTGTTGCTACCAACTTCTCACAATAGAATATAGAATAACAGAGTTCAAAGGGACCTTGGAGGTCTTCTAGTCTAACCCCCTGCTTAGGCAGGATACCCTACACCACTTCGGACAAATGGTTATCCAATCTCTTCTTTAAAACTTCCAGTGTTGGAGCATTTACAACTTCTGGAGGCAAGTCGTTCCACTGGTTAATTGTTCTAACTGGCAGGAAATTTCTCCTTAGTTCTAAGTTGCTTCTCTCCTTGATTAGTTTCCACCCATTGCTTCTTGTCCTGCCCTCAGGTGCTTTGGAGAATAGCTTGACTCCCTCTTCTTTGTGGCAGCCCCTGAGATGTTGGAACACTGCTATCATGTCTCCCCTAGTCCTTCTCTTCATCAGACTAGACATACCCAGTTCCTGCAACCGTTCTTCATATGTTTTAGCCTCCAGTCCCTTAATCATCTTTGTTGCTCTTCTCTGCGCTCTTTCTAAACATCTTTTTTACATTGTGGTGACCAAAACTGGATGCAGTATTCCAAGTGTGGCCTAAGCAAGGCATCACAAAGTGGTATTAACACTTCACATGATCTTGATTCTATCCCTCTGTTTATGCAGCCTAGGACTGTGTTGGCTTTTTGGGCAGCTGCTGCACACTGCTGGCTCATATCTAAATGGTTGTACACTAGGACTCCAAGATCCCTCTCACAGTTACTACTATTGAGCAAGTACCATATACTGTACCAGTGGTGGGTTGCCCCCTGTTCAGACCGGTTCGCAAGAACCGGTAGTAAAACCGGTGGGAGGCCCCGCCCACTGCCCTGGATATCATCGGCGATCTGCGCATGCACAGAAGTAAGGCACGTGCGCATGCGAAGCAAATGAGCACGATCCCGTTGCGAACCGGTAGTAAAGGTAAGTAGAACCCACCCCTGTACTGTAGCTGTGCATTTTGTTTTTCTTGCCTAAATGTAGAGCCTTACAATAGAAGTGAAATAGTTCCAATACAATTGATGAAAGTTCCTGTCCTGCCTTAGGCATGAAAGCCATCTGGGTAACTCTGGGCGGGTCACTCTCTTTCAACCCAACCCACCTCACAAAGTTGTTGTTGTGAGGAAAATAGGAGAAGGAAGGAATACAGTCTGTTCGCCACCTTGAGTTACCTATAAAGGTAATAAAAATCTAATAAATAAATACAGTACTTTAGTTTTGCACTCTCTATCCAATAGGCCAACCAAAGTCATTTATTTATTTATTTAGTTATTTATTTATTTATTTATTTATTTATTTATTTATTTATTAGTTCGATTTATATGCCGCCCTTCTCCGAAGACTCGGGGCAGCTTACAATGCATTAAGCAATAGCCTTCATACTTTTGTATATACCTGCTTAGTAGGGCTTTTTGGCCCCCCCATGCAATGTTCTATTTTATACAAAGTTAGCTTATTGCCCCCACAAACCGGGTCCTCATTTTACCTACCTCGAAAGGATGGAAGGCTGAGTCAACCTTGAGCCTGGTGAGAATTGAACTCGCAGTAATTGCAGGCAGCTGGCAGCTAAGTGCTACTTTAACAGCAGCAGTTTATTCTGCTTTGCCACCAAGGCTCCTAATATATTCTCTAAGTCTCATATTGGGTAAAACAAAACACACGCAGAATGGAGGAAAAGTGCACAAAACAATATTAGTGGGAAAATTTTGTAGAAAATCACAAAGCACAGGTAGTTGTCGATTAATGACCACAATTGAACCTAAAATTTCTGTTGTCAAGTGGGACATTTGTTAAGTGAGTTTTGTCCCATTTCACAATCTTTCTTGCCACAGTTGGTAAGGGAACCACTGCAGTTGTTAAGTTAGTAACACAGTTGTTGAATGAATTTGCCTTCCCCATTGACTTTGTCTGTCAGAAGTTCATAAAAGGGGATCACAAGACCTTGGGACACTGCTACAGTCATAAATATGAGTTGCCAAGCATCTGAATTTTGATCGCATGATCATGGGGATCAGTGGTGGGATTCGACAATTTTTACTACCGGTTCTGTGGGTGTGGCTTGGTGGGCGTGGCATGGCTTGGTGGGCGTGGCATGGCTTGGTGGGCGTGGCTTGGTGGGCATGGCAGGGGAAGGATCACTGGTGGGTTGCTACTGGTTCTGGCGAACCAATAGCAGCAGAGCCGGGAGGCTCCACCCACCTGCCCGGACATCATCAAATACTATCTGTGCATGTGCAGAAGCAGCGTGCGCATGCGCGAACCAGTAGCAAAGGTAAGTGAAACCCACCCCTGGGAAGGATACTGTAAAATCTCCATTCCCTCCTCACTCCAGGGGAAGGATACTGCAAAATCCCCATTTCCTCCCAATCAGCTGGGACTTGGGAAGCAGAGAATAGACGGGGGCGGGGCCAATCAGAGATGGTATTTACCGGTCCTCCAGACTTCTCAAAATTTCCACTACCGGTTCTCCAGAATTGGTCAGAACCTGCTGCACCCCCCTCTGATGGGGATGCTCCAAAGGTCGTAACTGTGAAAAAGCGAAAAAAACCACATTTTTCAGTGCTGTTGCATCTTTGAATAGTCACTAAACAAGCTGTTGTGAGTTGTGGACAATCTGCAGAACCTTGAATGGGATGAACTGAACTGACTTTATGAATGGAAAATTCAGATACTGAGAGTTACGGAAAAAAGACGGATTTATCTCCTTAGTTTGTATTTTACTTTTTTTTTTTTTTTTGGCATATTCAGACCGTTACCCATGAACCAATAATCCTTACTAGAAATTAGCCCCATCGAACACGAGTAGCTGAAAACAAGCTGATGTCCCTGAAGCTTCTTCATTCCATTGGAGGCAGATCCATAATTAGAAAGACCTTCTGTGGGAGGTTGGCAGGAATTGCTATCAAGGGGACTCAAGCAGACTGTTTATCCACGTGGCTCAGAGGTCAGCTGGGGTTTACCAAACTTGACTCTGAATCAAGAAGCCCAACGTGATGTCCACGCAGAGCAAATTTGATGTGAAAGTACATTAGATACGGTCTAATGTTGCAGCTCGTCTATGTAGCCTCAATATGAATGTCATCTCGCGAATGAATCCAGTGCAATAACTGCAGATAACATTCTCCATGTGATGTTTTTCCTACATTCATTGGCTTAATATAGCCTTGCAAAACAAAAAACAAAAAAAAAGCACAAAAAAAATGTTATCCCACAATGTTTTTGGCCAGCTTGCTTACCCATGATAGATCATTTATAGCACATTACAGTCTGAATAACAAATAGCTTTTTCTCATCCAAGCACTCAAAAAATATCCCTGTTGGTTTGTCTTGGGAAAAATACCCACTTTGCCACAGCAGTTCGAATCCCTAGTGCCGCGTAACGGGGTGAGCTCCCGTTACTTGTCCCAGCTTCTGCCAACCTAGCAGTTCGAAAGCACGTAAAAAATGCAAGTAGAAAAATAGGGACCACCTTTGGTGGGAAGGTAACAGCGTTCCATGCGCCTTTGGTGTTTAGTCATGCCGGCCACATGACCACGGAGACGTCTTCGGACAGCGCTGGCTCTTCGGCTTTGAAACGGAGATGAACACCGCCCCCTAGAGTCAGGAATGACTAGCACAGATGTGCAAGGGGAACCTTTACCTTTACCTTAAGTATATAAAATCTACGTCATTCCCCTGATCAGCTAAATTAGTTAACCTCCTCCCTAACAGACCAACGATTAGCAGAAAGACGGGTTAACTTGGGGCAAACAAACAGCGCCTTCTAGAAGCTTCGGATTGTTTATGCCCTTTAGCGTTATTATCCTCTGGGTCCTCTTCCTTCACTTAGCCAGGCCTTTGGCCAATGTCCCATCCCTAATCTCCCCTTCTATTTTCATTTGCAAACCCTTGGCAGAAGAGCACTCCTTGGCAAAGCAGAGTTGCGTCCCCTTGGTTGCTAGAGCAGGCAATTGGAAAGTCACACGTAGCAACATTGGGGGGAAAGGAATTGGGTTCGCTATTCTTAGCTCAGGAATGTACACAGTGCCGTGTTGTGGTACCTCGCTAACCATCCCTGGAAAAAGCAAGGACAGCTCCGTGATGCTAAACAAACCTAGAAACCATCCCCAATGAATCCTTCAAACGGCGAAAGAATAATATAGGGAGGTTTCATAGCTTCCTCTCCCTCTGCTTTTCAAACATTAATCTTCCGAGGCAAGTTGTTATAGGCATGGAAAGTTTCAGCAGAGAATAAACAAGCCAGAGCCACTGAAGGTTGGGAAAGGATTAAGGTAAACAGAGCTGCCTGCCCCCATTTTTATTTTATTTTTTACCACAAACAAAAGCCATTAAAACTTGGGGAAATTTGCTTTGGGGTGTAGCAACCCGGTTGTTGGGTTTTTAAGCCTCTCCGTGCAATATATGCCGGTTATATTTTTGTACATTTCACTGAAGAATGGGGTGATGGGATGGAGGTGGGCTGAAGTGGGCTAGCAGCTGTCGTCCTTTTTTAAAAAAAGTAGAAGGCTTTTCTATGATCTATTGTTGTTTTGCGGCACAGTTGGAACCAAAACTGATGCATCGAGAAAGAAAAGCTAAGCATTGGGTGCATTTTATCATGGGTGTACAGTATAGCTGAGTATAACTATAGAGTTGGGGGATAATGTTTGAGCAAACTTTGAAATCATGCAAAGAAAAAAATTCCTGTTTGGGACTGATCTGAAATCATCACTGGAAGCTTTCAAGAAGAGACTGGACTTCCATCGGTCAGAAATGGTGTAGAGTCTCCTGCTTCGGTGGGGGGCGGGGGTTGGACTAGATGACCTACAAGGTCCCTTCCAACTATGTTATTCTGAAAGCAAAGCAATTCGCAGAAAGAAAGAAAAAAGATTTTCCCTATAGATTCCTAGATGCAGTTTAGTTTAGTTTATTGTGTTGTTCTGCAAAGTTGCATTCTTTAGAAATGACTACGGTTCTTTTTGGGGGGGGCGGGGGGATGCTAAAGAGAATTTTTAGAGAGTTTCTTCCCTATGAACATTTTTTTTTGGCTTTGGTCTTGAATCCCTGATTACTGAAAGCATTTTGAAACATTAAAAAAATAATAATCTATTTTTAACTCATTGGGCTATTAGAAGCCTAGAACTGGAATTGAATATCCGGTTGATTTTGTAAGAGGAATGTGATACAGATAGTCCTCGACTTACGGCCACGATTAAGCCCAAAATGTTTTGTTGCTAAGCGAGGCAGCTGTTAGGTAAATTTTGCTCCATTTTTATGACCTTTCTTGCCTCAGTTATTAAGTGGATTACTGCAATTATTAACAGAGTAACATGGTTGTTAAGGGAATCTGGCTCCCCCATTTATTTTGCTTGTCAGAAGGTCGCAAAAGGAGATCGATCACATGACACCTGGACACTGCAAACGTCATAAATACGAGTCAGTGGCCAAGGGTCTGAATTTTGATCACGTGACCATGGGGATGCTGCTGCAACGGTCATGAATGTGAAAAACGGTCATATAAGTCACTTTTTTCAAAATTTTGAAAATTTTTTGTTAATTTTGAATGGTCACTAAACAAACTGTTGTAAGTCAAGGACTACCTGTAATTTTTTTTTAAAAACTTTCTTTGTTGGTGTAAGCAGATGTTTTCTGCTTTAATAATTTTATTATTTTAATTGATGTTTGTCTTGTGCTTTTAATAGGCTGTACACCGCCCTGAGTCCTTCGGGAGAAGGGCGGTATAGAAATAAAATTATTCTATTCTATTCTATTCTATTCTATTCTATTCTATTCTATTCTATTCTATTCTATTCTATTCTATTCTCCATTCTGTAATAGATGGACAATATTTCGAGGGGACTTTTGCATTGCACCCCGAAGAATTTTTGATACTTTCATCCTAAGACTTCTCCTTTGGATGCTGTTTAGGTCATGGAAGAAAACTCCCTCCAAGGCCTGTTGTTCAGAGACCAAGATTTTTCCTCCGATCTCCTCAAGCAGCTGAACGTCTTGAGACAAAACAGAATCCTAACCGATGTCCTTCTGTGCACAAACGACATTGAAATTCCTTGCCATAAGAATGTTCTTGTCTCAAGCAGTCCCTATTTCAAGGCCATGTTCTGTAACAACTTTAAGGAGAGCATCCAGGAAAAAGTCAACCTCCAAGGAATGGACTCCGGCATTCTGCATTCGATTATCCTTTACATCTACACGGGAGAGATACTCATGACTCCCGAGAACATTCTCAGTCTCATGGAGACGGCTTCCATGCTTCAGTACATGAAGCTCTTTGAAGCCTGTTCAGCTTACCTCCAGGATCAGCTTTCTCCAGAAAATTGCCTTAGCCTGAGAAGGCTTTCTGAAATCCTCCATTGTCAGGATCTTAATCAGAAAGCGAAAGCCATGGCTCTGAGGCGTTTCCCTGAAGTAGCCACTTCTGAAGACCTGAAAGAACTTTGCGTGTTAGAGTTGATAGACTATCTTGGGAATGACGAGCTTTGCGGAGAGGAGGAAGAGGTTTTTGAGGCTATCATGGTCTGGGTAAGGCATGACCTTCAAGCACGACAAGGCTATATTCAAGACTTGTTCCAAAAAGTGAGGCTGCAGTATGTCCATCCGACATTCTTCTTCCGCTTCATAGCCAATGACTCTCTCATTCAGTCATCCCCTGCCTGTCAAAATATCCTAGAACTTGCAAATAAGCAGATGTTTTCGCTGTATAGTGTCAGTGCCCCTGACGTCAAACCCCTCTGGCATGTTCCCCGGCGCTATTCGTGTCGGGAATTCCTCCTCTTAATCGGTGGTCGCAAAGACAATCAACAAACCACAAGAGACGTCTTACTGTATGATGAAAATACAAACCAATGGTTGAGCCTTGCTAAGTATCCAACCCGTCTCTACAAGGCCTCGGCAGTGAGTCTGCACAGTAATGTGTATCTTTTGGGGGGAATTCCTGTAGGTAACGGGAAGGACCAAGTTAGCAGTAACGTTTACATCTTCTCACTCAAACTGAATCAATGGAGGCTGATAGAGCCCATGTTAATGGCGCGCTATTCCCATAGAAGCGTGGCCTACAAAAACTATATCTTTGCCATCGGAGGCATCGGCGTGAACCAGGAAATCTTAAATTCCATGGAGAGATATGATAGCATCTACAATGTTTGGGAAGACATGGCGAATATTCCCACTGCGGTCCTGCATCCTGCGGTATCTGCCAAAGACCAAAGAATCTACCTGTTTGGGGGGGAAGACTTGATGCAAAACCCAGTCAGGCTAATACAGGTAATTCCCATTCTTGATCATCTCACCTGGGCTATCTCAATTGCATGCTTCCAGCCATGTCTGGCCTTTGGTTCAAAGTCTCTGAGCTATTCTCATGCTTTGCGAAAAAAATATCCTCAGCAGGAAATAGAAAAACCTAGCCATTATTTTGAGAATCCATTGGGAAGCCATGCAGCGGATAACCAAACTCATTGGCTAAGCTGAAATTTCCATCTGCTGAAAACCACATAAAAATCCCCTTTTTATTTATACAGGCAAACATTTTGCTGTTAAGAGCTTAAGCAACAGCCACAACATCATTTTGCTAAGAGGCCCCGCCATTACTTGCCACATGCAATCCAGAGTGGTGTAAATATTGCAGGATGGACAAATATACAAATCCAGATGCACGTCAAAGGCTAATTTTGGGAACAATTGCAAATGTGAGTGCGTCTCAGCATTCCAATGTCAGTTTAACAAAGAGGAGGACTAGTTAGAGTGGTTGCATCCAAGGGCATCTACGGAAGGGACAAAAAAACCCCACAGAAAATGGTGGCTGCAACTGTGAAATAGGAATCCCACCCCATTGTTCTTATTGGCTACAAAAGCCGTAGAGAGGCTGGTCCTTCAGGGATCAGTAAAATAGGGGTGGGGCTTCAGTCACATGGTTGTTTAGACCTAACCTACCTCACCATCCCTAACTCCATTATACTTAGAGCAGGGGTGAAATGCTCCCGGTAGCGATGGAGGCGAGTGGTTCAGAGAACCGGTAGCAAAAATCCTTGCCGCCCCACCCCCCATGCCCAGCTGAGCCGCACAATCATCAGAGGCTTTTTTTTTTACTTTTAAAAGCATTTTTTCTACAACCTCTTCGGCCGAAAAAATGCTTTTAAAAGTAAAAAAAAAAATTGGCCACACCCACCCAGTCACATTACCCATCCCCCCACCAAGCCACGCCCACAGAACCAGAAGTAACAAATTTTAGATTTCACCACTGACTTAGAGGATCATCTTACCTGGCTTTCGAAATCCACAATTCATCCATCACACCATGTCACTTGTTAAAATACATTCTGTTTTATATTTACACACTTCTATAGCTGCAAATGGTTAGAAGTTAGCAAAATAAGACCAAGTCAATATTTTCCTGCTTGCTTCATGGGCTCATGAGTGCAACAGATAAATACCTTCAAAGAAGCCAAGGGTCAAGCACAAGAAATCAAGTCCATGATTTCAACCAGATTGGTAAAAAAGGGGGTCAGGTTAGCTAAACTTGGTTTGATTCTTTCTTTCCAAGATTCTGGACTTCCAAGCATAATAAAGATGCCCCTGTGATTTTTCTCAGAAACAATTTGTTATCTGAGCACAGGATTTGTTCCTGCCGACTCAAATTTAAGGTTAGATTATATTTCACCAGTATTTTCCAATTTTAAACCTAGACTTCTCTTAAGCCATCTTTTCTCAGCTTTGTGCCTTTATGCGTTTTATTTTCACTCCTATAATCATTCAGTGGCTATCCTGGCTGAAGTTTATGGGAACCGAGGATATAAAGGTGGCTGCCCCTTTTATAATATACAGCAATATGTTCAAATATTTGGTTTCATAAAAAAGCAATTTGCAAACTGTTTCTATACCAGATGTTCTTTTAGTCATGGGTGGTCATTTTAAAAAAAAAACCCAGAAAGTTAGGCAATTCCAGATGTCCACTGCAAAGGTTTTATCAGCATTGGGTAGCTATCATGATTCAGGTTTCAGTTAAATAGCTCGCAAGATACATTAACTGTTGACTTTCCCATTATGTTTATACAATAGCTAACGATGCACTAATAAGACGTTAAAACAAGCTCTGGCATTCCCTTCATTTCTCAATTGCTGAATGGTATTAAATTGTGTGTGCTCTTGAATCTTAGTTGACGCACACAACTAAGTAGTTGGGCACAGGCACAAATGAGGATGGAGCTGAATATTCAAACACCATTCAGTTTCTTGTGCATTTAAACGACAGTAGACATCTGTTGTAATAAGGGACACGGTGGCTCAGTGGCTAAGATGCTGAGCTTGTCGATCGAAAGGTCGGCAGCTCAGCAGTTCGAATCCCTAGTGCAGCGTAATGGGGTGAGCTTCCGTTACTTGTCCCAGCTTCTGCCAACCTAGCAGTTTGAAAGCACATAAAAAATGCAAGTAGAGAAATAGGGACCACCTTTGGTGGGACGGTAACAGCGTTCCGTGTGCCTTTGGCATTGAGTCATGCAGTCCTTCATTTTTTCCAAGGCAGCCCTGTGGGCCAGATCTAAGCACCCCGTGGGCTGGATGCGGCCCACGGGCCTTGAGTTTGAGACCCCTGGAGTAGGGAATTCCATGTGCAAATCAACCCCAGGGGATGGAAATTGGTTGGTTGGTTTTGGGGCAATTACTCAAGTGAGATGTACAATTATATCTGCTAATTTGCTTAGATTTCTAGATCTGGATCCAAAATTTGGTGCCTATTTGCCAAATAGGTAAATGATTGTAGCCTATTCCCAAATAAATATTGTATATTTATTGTATGACTATGATCATGATCTATCACTATAGAAACACTGAGAGTTTAGGCACCGGAGACAAATTCCTTGTGTGTCTAATCACACTTGGCCAATAAAGAATTCTAATTCTATATCTTCACTTTTTTAAAAATGGCTTTATTATTAGAGATGCCTTTTTATGTCAAATCCCTCCATTTCATCTTTTTCAGGTGTATCACGTGTCTAGGAACATGTGGTTCCGAATGGAGACCAGGATGGTGAAAAATGTCTGTGCACCAGCAGTTTTGATTGGAGACCGCATTTTTATTGTTGGAGGTAACATAAATTGAGAATGGCTGTCATGCAGATGTCCCAAAATACAGCAATTTGTTTCTGCTTGGTGTTATAGTGTAGATTTTTTCCCCTTACATCTGGAGTGCCTGGCTATATCTTGTGGTGCTTATGTACGCCCCTTACAGACCTCTTAGGAATGGGGTGAGGTCAACAGTAGACAGTTTAAGGTTAAAGTTTTGGAGGTTTTGGTATATGTCAGTGTCCATTTTTGGTGCCACAATTTTTCATTTAGTTCTCTACAAGAGAGAGCAAGAAGACCAAAATATGAACACAGAAGAGATGTACAAGAAGGCTTGTAAAAAAAAAAAAATACCCAAACCTTGCCCTCTATTTACTCTGAAACTTTGTGCCAATGATTCAGTGGACAAGTTTAAGCCATAAGCGTTTTGGTTTACTTAAGGAATAGCACAAACATTTCATCTAATTTCAAACATAATTCATTTTCCTTTAAAGCAAAGAGATTTACTACCGATAAATTTTCAGTTACTGAGTAAGTATGTCATAACAACATCAAGTTGTTCCTGGCTTATCGAGCAATTGGAACTGGGGGGGTGGGAAATTCTCAATAATAACAAACAGATTTTTGATATTTTTCAAAAAGCATCTAATATATGTCAAATTTCCCTTGAATAAATCAGATCAAAACAAGACAGCGTTTATTAACTGCAGCAATGTGGCACTTGGCCTGAATTAAATAGAGTTCTTATTATTTAGAGATAGTTTTGCAGGTCTATTTACCAGCTTTAGATTAAATTCAATGGGATATTTTTTGGAAGTCACAATGGGGACACCTTATCATTCTTTGCTGATTCTTCTTTTCTTATATATATATAATTTTCTTTGAATTTATTTACTTACTTACTTACTTACTTACTTACTTACTTACTTACTTACTTACTGGTTCGATTTATATGCTGCCCTTTTCCAGAGACTCAGGGCGGCTTACAATGCGCTAAGCAATAGCCTTCATACTTTTGTATATACCTGCTTAGTAGGGCTTTCGGGCCCCCCATAAGTGGTGTTCTTTTTTATACAAAGTCAGCTTATTGCCCCCACAATCCGGGTCCTCATTTTACCTATCTCGAAAGGATAGAAGGCTGAGTCAACCTTGAGCCTGGTGAGATTTGAACTTGCAGTAATTGCAGGCAGCTGGTGTTACTTAACAGTGCTTTAGTCTGCTGCACTACTGAGGCTTTTAATTACTATCTGCTCACTGACATCTTTTAGCATACCAGTTTGAGGTTGCAACCATCTTCTAATCTAGGAGAGAACCAACCTAGAAATAGACATTTCCTAACAGCTAGAACAATTAATCAGTGGAACAGCTTGCCTCATGGAGTTGTGGTGCTCCAACACTGTAGGTTTTAAGAAGAGATTTGACCACCATTTGTCTGAAATAGTATAAGGTCTCCTGCTTGAGCAGGCTGTTGGACTAGAAGACTTCCAAGGTCCCTTCCAACTCTGTTATTCTATTCTGAGTTTGGAGATTTTTGGAAGACTATCCTTGATTTTCTGTGTCTGTTTCATCTTTGATGTTTTTATAGATATCATTGTAATACTGTCTCTTGCGTCTTCTGAAATTCTTTGTTAAATTCCTTCCTAAGATTTTTGTTTTTCTTGGCTTCAGCTTCTCTTTTCTTCTCTTGGCAATTTCAGGGGCCTGTTCTGAAATCCAGTCTGCTTTATTCTATTTCTGATCTGAGGTAGTTAATTTTCATACGAATCCTTAACAATTTCTTTGAGTTCCTTCCACAGTTTTTCTGGTTTCCTATCGGTGTGGTTCAGGACTCACTCTGATTCCAAACCTGATCATGTGACTCCAGGACATTGCAACCATCATAAATATGAACCAGTTGCCAAGCATCTGAATTTTGACCACGTGAGCGTGAGGATGTTGCAACGGTTGTAAGTGTGAAAAACGGTCATACGCCACTTTTTTTCAAAGCTGTTGTAACTTTGAACGGTTATTAAATGAACTGTTATAAGTTGAAGACTATCTGTAACTGTTGCTGGCCTTCCAAGCCAAGCCACAATATGATAAGACAGCATTGTGGGACTTGAAAATGGGGGCAGTAGATTCTGCTTAAGGTCTCTACTTTGCCCTTTACACTTCTGAACCCACCTCTCCAAATTGGCCTGACCCTGCCTACATTTTTCATTGCAACCCACAACCTAGTGTACAAAGTCTATTGTGGCCCTTGAGCTGAAAGTTTGCCCATCTGTACAAAGCAATAATTTGTTGAACTATTATTTATTTCAGGGGTCTCCAATCTTGGCAACTTTAAGACTTGTGGACTTCAACTTCAAGAGTTCCTCAGCCAGCAAAGCTGGCTGAGGAACTCTGGGAGTTGAAGTCCACAAGTCTTAAAGTTGCCAAGGTTGGAGACTCCTAATTTATTTGACTCAATCGTAGCTGCCTCTCTTCACATTCTCAGGACTGTCATATGGTGTAACAGGTCTGACTCCAAGCCACACAAGGGAAGACCATAATAATATGATTGCTGCAATGAAAAGAATAAATCAGAAGAACAGAGAATACAGTAATATTATTTGTAAGGGATCATTAAGGTCACTGAGTCAGTGAGGTGCACACATAAGTTGGGGAGTGTGGAAGCAATATGGCAGGTGGTGCATCATGACCTAAGTCACACTAGGTAGAGTTTCCATTGCAAAACTCCTCCCGCCATCTTGCTGGTGATGACACACAAACTCTGCGGATGCCACTGCATTGAGTTTGATCCTCTGTTCAACACAAGATTCCAGCTAAAAAAGAATTCCAGTGGAGCAACTTGCTTTGTCAAAGTTTATGATGCTGCTAACTGGCCAGTTGAGCTCCCAATTCCTACTACTGGTAGTCCTCGACTTACAACCATTTGTTTAGTGACCATTCAAAGTTACAACGGCATTGAAAAAAGTGACTTACGACCATTTTTCACTCTTACGACCATTGTAGCATCCTCATGGTCATGTGATCAAAATTCAGACGCTTGTATTTATGACGGTTGCAGTGTCCTGGGATCACGTGATTCCCTTTTGCGACCTTTTGACAAGCAAAGTCCATGGGGCAGCCAGATTCATTTAACAACCATGTTACCAATTTAACAACTGCCGTTAAGCAAAACAATTGTGGCAAGACAGGTTGTAAAATGGGGCAAAATTCACTTAACAACGGTCTTGCTGAGCAACAGAAATTCTGGGCTCAGTTGTAGTCATAAGTTGAGGACTATCTGGTTTCTATTGCATTCCATCCCTTCCATTCCTGCTGAGCCTGTGACTTATGAATTCCACATTTTTTCTTATTTTTGGTTTTCCCCTAGGATACACCCGAAGAGTAATTGCTTATGATACCAAGGACAATAAATTTGTGAAGTGTGCAGACATGAAGGAAAGGCGGATGCACCATGGGGTAGCCGCCATCAACGAGAAGCTGTATTTGACCGGGGGGCGCTGTCTAACACCGGATAACGCCATCGTGGACTCTGATTCACTGGACTGCTATGACCCTCAGACAGATACCTGGTGTACAAAGGGGAAACTACCCCATAGACTGTTTGACCACGGATGCCTCACACTCCAGTGTGTGCCTTATGCCAACTTCTTGGGAGAAGGGAATGGAAAGAAAACGTTTTCCTAATTGCAGAGAAGTTGCTAGTCAACCTTTCCCAAGCCATCAAAATGGATTCAATGGAATAGGCTTGAGAAGGTTCACCATAACATGAGGTAAAACGTTTGCCTCATTGCCTCAAGCAGCAGATACAGGATTTGATTAAAGCAGCGTTTGGGGTGTGTTGGCATGGTACACTTATCCACAGAGATTAATCCTGGTTTTTCTCCATTAATCCAACGTCCTGGGTTCACACAGCTTCCTGAATCCTGGACTAAGCTCTTGCCAGATTGCAGTATAATGCAGTGGTGAAATCCAAATTGTTTTACTACCGGTTCTGTGGGCGTGGCTTGGTGGACGTGGTGTGGTGTGGCTTGGTGGCCGTGGCAGGGGAAGATATTGCAAAACCTCCATTCCCTCCCCACTCCTGGGGGAAGGATATTGCAAAATCTCCATTCCCACCCCACTCTGGGGCCAGCCAGAGGTGGTATTTGCCAGTTCTCCGAACTACTCAAAATTTCTGCTACCAGTTCTCCAGAACCTGCTGGATTTCATCCCTGGTATAATATCTGCCAAATATATCGTACATGTTGCTAAAAATTTTCACTTTATTCTTTAATTTGTTCCCTTTGTTCTCTAATTTCAGGAACAACCTGAATGTTTTTACGCAGAAGGATTTGCCTCGTATGTTATGTGCATATGAACTGAATGTTCTTTTTTTTAATTTCTTTTGGATTAAACAGATCCAGTGCAATTCTGAAATAAATGGATGTCAGAGACGTATAGGTGTGTCTGTCCCTCTCTTTTCTCTCGCTTGCCTTTTCCCCCCCCCCTTTTCACAGCAAGCTTGATGGAAAGGATATCATTTTCACACTAATAAGTCCTAGCCGAATAGCAGTTTTGAAGTGGGTTATCCTTCCATTCATTGTTCAGAAGATGTCAAGTGAAAGAATGCTTTCCATCAAAGTTCCCAGCAGGATATTCAGTATCTAACACTTTTTATATATATAAATTTTATTTATACATTTTTTTCTTTAAATACACACAGGTGCTTGGTTAACAGTGCATTGTCTGAGTCATTTTAGATTTACAAAATGTGAATAATAATTCTAAGATTAATAATAGTAGTTAAAATAATAATAATACTGATGATCAATATGCTTTAAAGACAATACACTTTTTAATCTTCTTGTTTAGAAGTTTAAATAACAATTACAGCTCGTCCTCAGTTTTCGACCACAATTGGAGCCCAGAATTTATGTTGCTAAGTGGGACATTTGTTAAGTGAGTTTTGTCCCATTTTACGACTTTTCTTGCCATAGTTGTTAAGTGAATCACGGCAGTTGTTAAATCAGTCACACGGTTGTAAAGTGAACCTGGCTTTCCCCATTGACTTTGTCTTGTCAGAAGTTTACAAAACGGGATTACATGACCCCGGGACACTGCAACAGTCATTAATATGAATCAGTTGCCACATGTCTGAATTTTGATCACGTGACTAGGGAAATGCTGCAATGGTCATAAGCGTGAAAAACGGTCAAAAGTTACTTTTTTCAATGCCGTTGTAGCTTTGAACGGTCACTAAACAAATGGTTGTAAGTTGAGGACTACCTATAGGAATTGGGAGCTGTATCACCTGTGAAGTTAATAGCATCATAAACCTTGGCAAAGCAAGTTGATCACGTCACTAGGGGGGATGCTGCAATGGTCATAAGTGTGAGAAACGGTCACAGGTCACTTTTTTCGGTCCCGTTGAACGGTCACTAAACAAATGGTTGTAAGTTGAGGACTACCAGTAGTAGGAATTGGGGGTTGGATCACCTGTGCAGTTAATTGCATCATAAAACTTGGCAAAAAATTTTGATCACGTGACCAGGGGGGAATGCTGCAACAGTCATCAATGTGAAAAATGTTCATAAGTCCCTTTTTTCGGTGCCATTGTGACTTCGAACAGTCATTAAACAAACTGTTGTAAGCCGAGGACTACCTGCATATAAGAGATGAACTGTGCCTCTGAATGAAAGATACGTTCTGTCAACGGCAGTTAACAGAGAGAGATCCACATACAAGGCATACTTTCTGTAAATCCACGGACCTGTTTATGTCGGTAGGAACACTAGCAATGGCGCTATGCGTCCTTCATGTGACTGTACAAATTCCTACAACACAAAGTATGGTGGCTGGACAGCGGGGGCGGTCAGGAGGTGACCGATTGCTCAGGCTTAGTTACAGGAATGTAAGGAGAGAGCATGGAGAGAAGTGGAAAATACGATGAGGCAACAGCAGATTTATAGGAATAGGTGCCCAGGTTGTCTGTGTCCCCAAGCAAACTTAGAAGAGAGTATCTGAGTTTAGATTAGTTGGCCGGTTCAGGGGAACTGTGGTCCAACTAGGAATGTAAACAGCTTGGAAAAGAGATCTACTATTTGCAAACAACAGTGACAATAAATCAGATCATCATCCTTTTTGCTGGAGGAAAGGGACATCAATGTCTCCTGCTCCCAGCAGACAGAAGCCAGCAGGAGTAGAAATTGGGTTTTCTGTCCTTTTCTCTCTTTTTTTTTTGAATTTTTTTTATTTTTAAACAAAACATAAAACAGCCATCATCCATTACAATTACAGAAAGTGTGTCGATTGGTTGCAGTTCTTTTGTGCTTAATCCCATATCCAAAATTTACAAGTTATTTAATTTCTCTTATTATATCTCTTTGTGTTATTATTCTCATTTAACATTTATTTAACAATGGCATTTGTCCCATTTAAAAAAAAACCTTTCATATATTATATTATTACATTTATTTCATATTTCATACTTCATTTCCATGCTTTATTATCTAGCCATTGATAAAATAAATCCCATATCATATAATATTGTTTATCTTCCTGTTCTCTAATTTCAAATGTCAATTTACTCATTTCAGCACATTCCATAACTTCATCTTCTGTAGGTATTTTCTCCTTTTTCCAGTTTTTAGCAAATACAATTCTAGCCGCTGTTAAAACATTCACAATTAAATATCTCAATTCTCTATTATATGTTTCTGGTAAAATCCCTAATAAAAATATCTCTGGTTTAAAGTCAGTGTGTTTCTTTGTCATTTTTTCCAACCATGTGTGGATTTCTGTCCTTTTCTTAATGTACTGAAATAACCTTCTTCCCCTAAGAGGTTATTATTAGATAACTTCCTTTCATAACTTGGCATAGAAGCTGGGGCTCCCTGAATCCTCAGGCAGGCAGGCGTAGCATGGCACAGTCCAGTGGTGGGCTTCTGCCGGTTTGCCCCGGTTCGAGTGAGCCTACCCGCCCAGATGTCATCATGGATGCTCTGCACATGCTCAGAAGGTTCTGCGCATACGCAGGAACACTGCGGGTGAGCGAAGGAAGGGCGCGCGCGCACACACACTCACAGTTTCGAACCGGTAGTAAAGGTAAGTGAAATCCACTACTGGCACAGTCATCTAGGTGAGATGGTCACTGTCAAAATTTAATAAATAAATAGCTTTCTCGGTATTTATCCATCTCTTACTTGTGCTGCAGGAATTAGGACAGACAGACAGATTGGAACAGAGGGATTAACAGAGTTGAAAGGGATTTTGTAGGCCATCTAGTCCAGGGGTCTCTAATCTTGGCAACTTTAAGACTTGTGGACTTCAATTCCTAGAATTCCTCAGCCAGCTTTGCTGGCTGAGGAATTCTGGGAGTTGAAGTCCACAAGTCTTAAAGTTGCCAAGATTGGAGATCCCTGATCCAGGGGAGAAATGCTCCCCGTTCGGACCAGATCACCCTATCCGGTAGCAATGGTGGCGGGTGGTTCGGAGAACCAGTAGCAAAAATCCCTGCCCCCCCCATGCCCAGCTTTGCCGTGCAATCATCAGAGGCTTTTTAAAATTATTTTTAAAAGCATTTTTTCTGCAACCTCTTCAGCCGAAAAAATGCTTTTAAAAGTTAAAAAAAAAAAAAAAGCCTCTGATGATCATGTGGCTCAGCTGGGATCGTCAGAGGCTTTTAAAAGCATTTTTTCTACAACCTCTTCGGTCAAAGAGGTTGTAGAAAAAAAATGCTTTTAAAAGCCTCTGACGATCCCAGCTGAGTTGCCTGATCATCAGAAGCTTTTAATGAAGCTCGGCTGAAGAGGTTGTAGAAAAAAATGGTTGTAAAAGTAAAAAAAAAAAAAAAGTTGGCCACGCCCACCCAGTCACATTACCCCCACTCCCACCAAGCCACGCCCACAGAACCGGTAGTAACAAATTTTACATTTCACCACTGCTCTGATCTAGTCCAATCCCCCTTGCCCAAGCAGGAGGCCCTACACCATTTCTGACAGATGGCAGTCCACTCTCTTCTTGAATGCCTCCAGTGATGAAGCTCCCAAAACCGCTGAGGGAAACTTCTATTCCATTGGTTTATTTCTACCAGCTGATGCCTCAGTTGCAGTGAGGCCTGTAGAGGGCAGCTTTTGAAGTCTTACGGCTTCCTCGGCCATTGACTGTGCCGTCACATATATTTTATCCCTTTCACAGCAATAAAAATTAATGTAAATGATTGGCAGAACACATGATGGACTGGACACCGTTAACGAAGCAATTATTATGGTGTTCTAAATCAGTGAAGAATCTTGCCACATGAGTCAATGAAAGACACCTTTCCTTGGTATCAGTGGATCTGTATTTCCTTTGTGTAATATCCATTTGGCTATAAATTACATCTCATTTCTCTGTTCTGTGCCCATCTCAAGGTGGGTTTATATATATTTACACAGAATGTATTGATGTCCAGAGTACATAGAGGAGTGTATTGATGTCTAGATTAGATTGCAGATTTGTTTTCTTTGTTGACATTTCTTTGATGTTGTTTTGAACTTGCATTGTGAGCTTTGTTGAGTGTTAAGGTTCTTATTGGTGCTATTATGATAAGCCACTTAGAAACAGAATATGGGGAAGTATTTGTTGTTAGTTGCGAAGTCATATCCAACCCATTGCAACCCCATGGACAATGTTCCTCCAGGCCTTTCTGTCCTCTACCATCTTCTGGAGTCCATTTAAGCTCACACCGACTGCTTCAGTGACTCCATCCAGCCACCTCGTTCTTTGTCATCTCATTCTTCTTTTGCCCTCAATCTTTCCCACCATTAGGCTCTTCTCCAGTGAGTCCTTCCTTCTCATTAGGTGGCCAAAGTATTTGAGTTTCATCTTCAGAATCTGGCCTTCTAAAGAGCGGTCAGGGTTGATCTCCTCTAGGACTGACCGGTTTGATCGCCTTGCAGTCCAAGGGACTCGCAGGAGTCTTCTCCAGCACCAGAGTTCAAAGGCCTCAATTCTTTGATGTTCAGCTTTCCTTATGGTTTTGACACTCTACCTGTCACTAAAGAAAACTAAGTGGAGATAGTTGGTTAAATATCCCTGAGGCAAATGTACCCCCTGGGAATAATATAGGGAAGTCCTTGACTTATGACCACAATTGAGCCTTTCTTATGGTCCAACTTTCACAGTCGTACATTGCAACTGGGAAAACCATAGCCTTGACTATACACACTTTTGTTGGCAGGGTGATGTCTCTGCTTTTTAGTATGCTATGAGAAAGTATAGAACTCTGCATAATACATATATTAAATAACTATCCGTGTTTCCCCAAAAATAAAACCGGGTTTATTTTTGGGGGGCCCAAAACAAGCACTAGGGCTTATTTTGTCTTATTTTTTTCCCATGTATGGGAGGCCCACTTCTTCTGCTTGCTCACAGTAGGACAGGAGGCCATGCAGCACGCCAGTACCGTTGCGGCTATG